GAATTTATTAATCAGCAATTACTTCATTAATGTAGATTCATTCTAAATGCTAATTTCAATGACCAACCGATCATGTCATATTTGAAAATGACTTTAATTACATTATTGTTTTAAATATTATACATATTTGTAATGCTAATTATAAATATATAATTTATAATTTATCCTTATATAAATGTGTATAATGGTTGACATTAATAAATGTGTGCATCATGAGTTTTACCATATTACTAATAAACATTGTTCAAAATTGTTATATGATGTATTTATTTATATGAATATTTATTTATTAATTAAATTTTACTATTTTTTACAGGCGATGGAATCAATGTGGTTTCCCTGACTGGCGAAGGTCGAGAAAGTGACGAATCATCATTCACACCTTTGAAAGATCTGAATCTTCCGTATTCTCTGTTCTCTCTAATAGACATATGTGATACATCCAAAGAAATCATAGTTGAAGAGCGTGTTCTCTTATATTATAAATACGACAACTCTCCAGTGAATTGCGTAAAAATCTTTAGAAGTGCCTATGGAATCAAACCCTTTGGATTTAGGTTGCTCCAATTTAATCTATTCAATCGAACCACTGCTCAAGAATATGGACAACCTGATGAAATTACTTTGTACGATGGTGATGTTTATAATGTGTCAGCACCTATATTAGGAAAAATCCAAGCAAATGCTAAAGGTGCAGAGAGAAAGTTTTATAAAAGCACATGGCAAGGATTGAGTGTCAGGTTGTTTGCGAGCGGAGCCAGTGGGACATATGGTTTTATAGCAGAAATTATTACTTTGCCGATTTCAGCAATTGGATTTAGTGAGTATTACTCAATTATTATAATAATTCTAGTTTATACTTAGAGAGTTTCTTATACTTATTGTACTGTAATAATATATTCGAGAAATTTTAAATATTTTTAAAAAAAATGAAGTAAAACTTCTTTAGGCGCGACTAGGGTGTAAATCCGTACGAATGCAACGGAAGTGCCTTACGGCAAGGTCGAGTGCCAATGATTCGTCATTCGCTCTCAATGATATCATTTCTATACGGGTCGTTTTTGATTGGTCGTCCTATTTGTGCGGGGCTTCTTTGTATGCGTGACTTTATACGTGCGTACGTCACCGAAAGCGTGAAGCATATTGTTCATTTTTGGTGTTTTATATCATTACATTTTAAGGTTAAATATCAGTACAAATCTTGGGTCGATTGTGCAAATAATAAAGCAAATGAAAAATCTGTGCCGTGTAAGAAACGTAAGTTTATTTTTGAGGTTATTAAAATGGAAGTTATTTTTATATGCAAGATAGATACTACAACTGTTCAAAGAACAGTGTCATTCTTTGAACAATTGTCATATCGCCAGAATTTATTAATCAGCAATTTCTTTATTTTTCTAATAAAGGTTCAAGTCCTAGATGCTAATTCCAATGACAAACCGATCATGTCGTATTTGAAGTATGACTTTAATTGCATTATTATATTCAAATATCATAAATATTTTCAATGCTATTATAAATTTATAATTTATTATTATATAAATATGTATAATGGTTGACAATAAAAAATGTTTGCATCACGAGTGTTACCATATTACTGATGAACATTATTCAAAATTGTTATATGATGTATTTATTTTTAACTTAATGCCATCTCGTACTATAGCAAAAGAGTTTTACTTCAGTCGCAGGTGAACCTTACGCGCACTCTTTTTTGTCTTTTCCAATAACCAATCTTTTCTTCACACTCTCACACAAGCAAAATGTTTCTTGAATTAGATGATTCATTCTCTTATTAACTGCTATTTTTGCACTTTTTGCTCCGTACCTCCAAAACGGCTGGAACAGCATTTGCACAAAACTAATCAGAACTACTTCCCGTCAGTACGAACCAAATATTTTTTGAATATTCTAATCGGATGCCCGGTTCTCGCAAACACCGAGTTTCCATTTTCTGCACTTTTTGCTCCGGATCTTTGAAAAGGCTGGACCTATCTGGAATATTTGTTGAATCATTTAAAAGTGGGTTGATCCGTGCTCCCGAAAACGTGAACAAAAAATTGTATCCACACATCCATATGCACACATCCATTTTTTTAAAAGTATGCTAAATGTTCAGAAACCTCTAAGTGTAAAGATCTGCAAAAATTTTTATTTTCAATTACTATAAGTTACCCTATTAGGTTTAGGTAGAATTTTGCCTTTAGGCAAGTTGCAAAAACTTCTATATATGTAAATAATCGACCTAATGAGATTTAGCTATTTAGATAAAATTTTCAGCTATTTATTTCTAAAAAAAATTCTTTTTTAATGCGATCAATGCAATCAATGCAATTTTGTACTTATTGCTACGTTATTTATTAAACTGAATTATATAATTTCATCTGCCATTTGCCTCTTATAATATTTTAATTTCTGGCATGTCTCAGCTGCTCTTCGGCAATAATAATGTAGTAAGAAGTTTCGATGCACAATGAAAAACGATCGTATATACTATAAAATTGACTTATAGTAGTAGTTATTCGTTATATTCTAACAAAATTTGTGATTTCCAGATCGCGATGCACAGCACAACCTGACGTATTCCACACTATCAAACTGTTTGACTGGTGCGTTGTCTTACTCGACCGTCGGCGAGGTGTCGCCCACGCTTAGCCTGGATAAAACCAAATCCTGGACAACTGCGTTCAACTTTATGGAAACTTCTCAACCTGCAAGGCGGCTATGAAGATCGATGTCCAAAATATGCAGAACATGTATTTCAGGGTAAATATTTATTAAGATTTTATATAGTCAGGAGGGCAGCTGAATACCCATCCAGTTGTTATATATAACTTTGTTTAAATATAACAACAACAAGTATATCGAAACCACTTTGGAATGCCTCACATATTTTAATATGTTGATTTTTCATTATCTTATAATATTTGTTACTCCTATCATAAAAGTAAGAAGTAAAATTTTAAGAATAAAAGGAGGTTTTTGAAAAAATAAAATTCACCAATGATACCAAAGACTAATAACACTGATTTTGAGACGGAGATTAGTGTAACCTGGCTCTGGTAGTGTTCTGGCAAGTATCAAGTGAGTTTGTGTAGTCTTCAAAGCGGCTTTGTACTATTGTGATGAATTTGTATCATTTACATTGCTGAAGACGACGTTTTTTGGATCAACCAATTTGGAACATGCTTTGGGCATTTTATTAATTAAATATTTTTTCAATCTCTGTCAGTCTGTCAATTTATTTGACCTATTTGAATTTTTAATATATTAGATTTGAAATCTGATGCTCCTAGTTGTATACCGTATGTCCAAATTGGTTAAATTGAAAGGAAATATTACTCGTCATGCCACAACATTTTGAGCGCCTTCGATCAATAGGTTTTATATAATTTATTTAGGAAAATAATCAATTTGTATTATGTGGAACCATTAAAGATCTTTTATGGGAAAAAATCAACAAGTAATAAATTTATGATTTTTGTGCTTCTGACTTTCTTGTTTTTATAACATATCACAAGATTGCAACTATAAGTCTTGTTATTATAGTTTTTTCGTGATTTAGGAAAACATTATATTAGGTTGTCAAATATCTCCCTTCCGCTTTTTTGCTCTTGGTTTATAATACAAAAAGGCAGAGATATTTGACAACCTAATACATTACAGTCGAAATTTAATTGATTGTCGAATTTGTCTAAATTTCTAGCTCCTCGATAATCAAGTTTTAATCCAACACATTTGTGTAAAAAATGACATAAACAGACAATACTTTACTATGTATATGATACTTATCATCAATATTGATATAGTATTTATTAAACTCTATGTGTATGCGTACTTTATAGCAGGTATTATACGAACTTTGTAGATATTTACAAAGTGATTTTTCGGGTAGTTACCAATTTTCTAGATAATAATCACTATTTATATCGTTGGTACAATGATTATTCAATTCATTATTCACAAGGAAAACTTTTTTGTGCGCTACTTTAAGCACATCGAACATCAAGAGATGATATAACCACTTTTTTTATCGTCGTAAATTAAATCGATCGCTTTTCCAAACAACGGAATAGAAGTAACTTATGAAATATTATTTAGTCCCTTGATTCTCTTGAAGATTCCGATTTCGAAGGGTTCATAATGGAAATAGATTGTTCTCAGACCTCTTCACAAATATTGAATGATAACGAAATACATCTGCTAAATTGTGAAGACATATAGGCTATTAATTAAGAATAAGGAGTTTTTTTTTGTAGAAATTACTTAAGTACAAATATTGATTTTGCACAACTTCTTAACTATTTTCAATTTCATATTGAATAAGTAAAATTACGCACCAATAAACAGAATATTATAGAACTTATCAATGGATCAATCAAATTCTCAAGATCTTCACAGATTTTTTAAATATTTAATATTAAAACGAGTTATAATAATAGTGTAATAATGCACAAAGTGCACACTGATTAAGAATAATATTTAATGATTTTTGATAACTTCATTGATATTCCTTTATAAAGTAATTTATTTTACCTTCTTACTTTATAAACATTTTACGTTTTGAATTTTCTCTTCCAAGTTTTCATGTCTGATATCTTGAATAAATTCTATTTTTCCCTTAAGTCATCTTTCTTATATATTCTCTTCGTCCAGTACTTTTTATAATAATGATGCAATTTAATATTCTCTTTATCTCAAAACATGTTCATCATAGTCTTAGCTGCTTCTCTTCCCGCATTTTTTTTATTTGATACAATTGAACCAGAAAATTACTGGAAGTCTTGCAAATATTCAAGATAATTTAAAAATGTAATCATTACTTACATAACTATTGTTACAGTACTATTGTACATTTTATGTGATTTTGTGTTTTGTTTCTTGCATCGAGTTTATGCTTTGGGATAATAATCAAACACTTCAAATACATATACAAAATTTTATTGATAACAATTAAAATGTTCAAATAATAGTAATAATATAGAACAGCTAATATATCGCGACAGAAAAAAATATTATGTGGTTTCTCACTCAAATGTCATAAAGTAACATACAAAATACTTACTACAAAGTTAATACAGATAAAATAAAATAAAACAAAATTTATTATCGTCGAAATAGCCCTAATAAATGCAAAGTAGAAATGTAAAAAATGTTTGAAGTTTATTTGGAAAAATAATTTGAAAATCATTCCAAATAAAGTTTAAATCTTTTTTACGTTACAGCCCTTATCGAGACAACGAATGGCTTTTAAATTTTTGAAATCACTTTTGAGAAAACGTCGATTTACGGCATAAAATTTGTTCACAGAGAAAACATAAATTAGCAAATCGGATTTTTTGATGAAAACATAAACTTCTCCTTCGAGAAGTTAAAAATTCTTTGAAAATCAGGATTATAGGATGGTGTAATACTTGTTAGTTTCGTACTAAAAGAAAACAGTAAAAAATAAAAACCTCAATTTTTGTAAGCCCATTAAAATTAAGAAACGTATTAAGTCCTTGTACAAATAAAAAATATTTTAAATGGGTAAAGTAGGTTAATCAAAGTCGGACTACTTGTGGTTTTTATTTTTATACTGTTTTTTTAGTACGAAACAAACATATATATTGCTATTTTACAATCATCATGACCAAATACGCATTTCTTGCAAAGTCTATAAATTTTGAAAGTTTTTAATTTTGCTTTTAGTTTAACAAGTTGTTGGAAATTGTGCAATTTTTTTTTATTGTGGATCTAGAAATATTAATTAGGCCGACATTTCCAAAGTGTGGTAAAATAAAAATAAAGATATTTAACCACTACCTTCAAAAATCGCTACAGCTTGATTACATTTTTGGATGATTTTTTTCATAATGGTTGCATTTAATCCTGCATAATCGCTACGGCTTGATGATGAATTATTGGCGCTTTGCACGAAGGCAGGTTCATTGTGCTCTTATTATTATACTCACTTTTCCAAAATTCTGCTATTTTATAATATCGCGAAAGTTATCAATTATCTGTTTTCTTCTTCTCCTAGACTTGTCAAACCTTTTTTTACCTCTGAAGACTACGTGCATCAAGCACTCTTTTTGCAATACAGCTCCGATCCAGTTTCCTTCTTTTTGCATGATCAAAAAAATTCTTTCTACCACGCTCCTCAGCACTTCTTTATTTGTTATCTTCTAATAATAATAATACTAAATGGATGTCTGCCTGAAGGCAGGTCCATGGTGTAAGAGCCATCACAAACAAATAATTCCTTGGACTCATGGCGTCTGTCATTCCCATTACCACTATTTCTCCGCCTCCTTCACACTTTTTTTCGTGTATTTTTCCTCTTTCAATGCCCTGTATTGAAATTTCTCTTCTCCGTAAGTCGTCAATCATCTGCATTCTTCTTCTTTCCATTCCTTTCAGTCCTTCTCTTTTACCCTCGACGACGCCGTACAAGAGGCACTTTTTTGCAGAACGGGTCCGAACCAGTTTCCTTTTCTTTACAGGATTGTGCTCAGTAGAGTCCTTTCTTCGTCCGCTCTTCTGGGGACTTCTTTGTTATTTTATCTGTCCACTTTATCTTCTCCATAACAAAATTAATTACCTGTGTGATTGATTTTACACTAACACTTTTTCACTAAAAAAGATTTTATCAAAAAAAGTTGATTTTATAAATTTCTTTTCAGACGAAGAAACAAATTTTGTAATTCAAATTGAAATTTAAATTAATTTCAATCAAACTCTAATTAAATCCATCAAACTTAAATTAATTTCAATTATCAAACTCAAAAAAGACATAATATAAAGAAATTTTGTTAGTGTAAAATCAATCATACAGGTAATTAATTCTGTTTTTTTAATAACCTTCTTAAAACTTTCTAATTTTTTTACGTTTTGTTATATAATCCACTCATTTATTTTTATCATATTCTTTTTGATTATTTTGTCATATTTCTGTACATTATTTTTTTCACATTTTTATTCATTTTATATATAAAAAATCCATCTTCTGCTTTTCTTAAACATATTGTTTAAATCTTATCAAGATCATGTTTCTTGACAGATGTCCTGACGATGGAACGTACCTAGTTCCGATACGTCGACAGTAAAGAAATAGAGAAATGTTTTTTTAAAAAACTTTTTTTTATTACTCTTGGATTCTTTGTTCGAAGCTCTACAAAATATATATAATAAAATATAATTATTTCAAGCGTAAGAACATGAGAATGTACGAATTGAATTTATCTTTACCAATAATTCTTCAACTAATATTTCTGTGGTAAACATTTCTGTATATTATTGTTTCCCGTACTTAAAGTACGAGAAAAAATTGAACATAAACTTGAAATACTACTAAATAATATTTCTGTTCGAGAAATACGTTTGGCTTGGTGCCGAATCTTGACCCCGCTAAGTTCGTGCTATTATATCACTGTGATAAAAAGTGAACTAATAAAAGTTTGGCAATCGGACCCGTAAATATTTATACAATATACGTTGTTTATTTTCAGAATAACTTAGTACGTGGAAATCAAGGAGGTCTATGGTTGCGGGCGGACTCCCGCGGTTCCGCCACTTCTCTACGCGGTTGGCTTCATAACAATCTATTCACGGAGAATTATAATCTGCCAGCTCTGTACATTGAAGGTCGGTTATTAAATATCTTTTATATTAGTCTTTTACAACAACTCTCTGTTTATTTTAGAGGTTATCAAAAGATTGTCGAAAACATGATTTTATTTTATGATTTAAATCAGATATGATGAAGTAAAGAGCATTTTCAAATACACATCTCTAATAATAATGAATGCAGAGTGCATTTCTATTTTTAGTTTAACATGATTTCAATTCAGAACACTGCGGTAATAATTTTGAAGTGGTAAATACATAACTTTTGAAAATAACATCAGATTTACATTCTATTTTTGTAGTCAAAAAATATATGTTACGATGTTAAGGTTTCTTGATAAAAAGAAGCAAAAATTATTTTGAAATATGATTAATTGAGTCCTGAGGCTTATTTAATTTTGATAAACCAGAATGAATAGCTTTTTAATCCTAAACTGCTTTTTGCAACTGTAAACCTGTAAACTACTTTCACACTCAAGTCGAGAACCAAGAACAACATGGCACATAAAACCTCATAGAAGTACCAAACCATAGAAGGGGACTGTGACGTCACTTAACGAGCGTTGCCGACAATCGTGGAACACTTGCGATCGATTTTCGTATGTCATATGTCATATGTCACGTGTTTAACCTAAAATTAAATCTTGTGTTTAAAATTGTTGAATTATTGTCAGTCTAAGCAGTTTAACATTGGTTCCTAGAACATTTCCTAATGATTAAACGTAATTTAACAGATGGATTCGATTATATGTACATTTATTCCACAGGGGCAATATTACTAATATCAACATTCTTACACACAATTGTCATTATATTATTGAAATAAAACTATCACCAATAATATTTGAATTGAATTAACTATTATGATCCATAATGTATAATATATAACAAAGCACATGACATATGACATATGACATTTAATTATTTTGGAGTGTTCCACCATTGTCAGCAATGCTCGTTTACTGAGCGACGTCACAGTCCCTTTCAATTTTTTAATACTTTATAAAATGGAAAACATATGAGGACTAGCTGTTTATGTAGTGTAAGGTCTATGTAAAACCTACAACCTGCTTTAAATAAAAATTGCCTTATACTTTATAAGTAATTAATCTACAGATAAAATATGTAATTCATTTTTAAATATAATAGCATCTTAAATACAGACCAAAATTATACAAATATTGTTATTCTTTATTTTTAAATTTATCAAAGCTATTTTTTTCTAGGTCGCCAATCATCACCATATCAAGAAGTCACTATATATAAAAACTATTTTTCAAGGAATGTCTTGCAATACCATGATGTTATAGTTTTGAAGCAAGTTGTTTCAAATTTCTCTTACAACTACGTTAATAGCAACACTGGAGCAAGAATAATGGAAATTTCAGGATTTGAAAAAGTTCGCCTACCAATTTATCAGACTACAATGCACAATGGTTTTTATAAGTAAGTATTTTCATAATATGTGAGACACTAAATACTTAATAATAAATATAGAGATAGGTGAGCAAAAAAATTGATTTTAATGAAAAAAGGTGTACATAAAAGGAATACCCTTGATTGTGACAATTTTTATAACCCTACTTTTTCCCAATATGTGACAAGCAACCATCGCAGGCAGTTTATTTCGCAGAAAAGTACACTAGATATGGTCGCAGTGCTTTGGACAAGTTTTGGTTCAATAAATAGAAATTAAATTAAAAAATCCGCAAATATGTGAAAATTATAAATAAATGAAAATTTTGCTGCTTTTGCCTTTTGATATATATATTTATAAGTCCAAATGGAATATTTTTGCTGTATATACATAAGTCTAAAGTGGCAAGTAATCATAAAAACTAATAGGTTTAACATTACAAAAAAATATCAAATCGAATGCTTCATTTACTCTACAAATCGACTTAGCCGTTTTTTGTAAAACGTGACAAAATATATATGCATACTTATATATACACATATTTATTTCTAAAAATTCTTAAAGAGATCTAAGATCTAATGATGATATCTAAAACTGTTTTAGATTTGTCTGCAATACCAATGACTAGTTAATACATTAGTATGGATATTAGGTACTTGAAATTCTTGGAATCCAAACGTTATGCATTAAAAGCATATAAATTATAAATGAATAAAATGTTTCTGCGTTGTATAAACGGATATTTTTTTAATTTTGTCGTCTATTACAGTAACTACGCCGTAGACCCGCTGGGAAGAGCTACGATCGTAGCAGGCACTGCCGGGCAGCAGTATGTGGATAACATCTTTTTCAACCCGGACAATGATTATGAAATGATTACCGTCAATAGATCTATGTGAGTATAAAATTATATTTAGTTTTATTGAATTCATTATAATCGACAAATTAGACATTCTATAATATAGTAACGATTAACAAAGATATCCAAATCTAACACTTGCAGTAAGTAATTCGAAAGTAAATTGTAACATCTTTACAATTTATTATCAATATGATGTAGTTGATATATTAGGTTATATATTTTATTCAAAAGAGTTTTTTTTTTCTTTTTCTTATAAACTTTCAATCTTTAGTCTTTTATGTAAATTGGTATTAGATTTTTTTATCAATAGAGAAGAGAGTCAGTAATGATTATAATCGAGATAAGAAGGGCAAAAAGTTAAATACAAGTTCATATACATATATATGACTTTTAAAAATTTTGAGTATTATTTAGAAATTTTAGATCAAGAAAAATCAGCAAATCGCATTTTCTAGCAAAACTTTGAATTTCATAGATTATAAGTGCTTGTTAATTGTTCGTAGCAATTAAAATAGATTTTCATTAATCATATCAAGTTTCATGATACTATTCAATCGCTCTACTAAATATTTGACAATAATTTAACAATTTTCTTTCATTTATTTACTAGTAACGAATAACACTTGATTTTATTTATGCATACTATTTATAAAGTAAGTTATGTATTTATTTATTCGTTTATTTATTTAAAGTTAATGCCAGTTGGTTTTATACAGTTAATTTTATACAGAAACTTAATATAAGTAAGTTATGTCTATTATAAACTGTACCTACTTTCTATTAGCAATTATCAACTTAAAGTATGTAAACAATTCAAGTAGTCTACCGAATATTAAAAATTATATTTATTGTTAATTTTATATTCATGCATGTGGTATTACTTATTTATTTTTTGTTGCATGACTGCTTGTGCATTTTGCCTGCAGATTTGAGTTACAATTCAACAGGTGAGTTTAAAAAATATTTTTCAAAATTTTTTAGTTATTATATTTAAAGTTATGACTATTTTATCAAATGCTTGTAGGATGAATTTTTGAGTTGCAAATCATTTATGCTGCTAAAAGTCAGAATATATTATCATCATGATCTGTTATAATTTTCATTAATATTTTAAATTATTTTTTATGTTTATTAATTAGATACACATAGTTTTGAGTTAGTTTTTTTAATACTAAGTCGTTATAACTAACGATACTAAATGATTTAGAAATAATTTTAATGAATTATTTCAAACGTATTATGCGACAAATAATACAAATTTGCAAAAGATATTAAAAATAATTAAAAGCTGCTTAATTTAAAATTATACATACAAAAAAAAATAATTTGGTGTTATCAGTTTGTATATATTAAACATTTGGTGTCAAGTTTCAAGATTTTTTTAAAATAATTTTCTTTTTCTCAAAATTTTACATATTATGTGAATTAAACATGAATTATTAAATATGTCATCCAGAAAAGCAGCTGTTTTGAGTAATATTTACAATATAGATTCAATCATTCAAATGAAGAAGTATTTTTAAATCAATATATAAACCTTTTAATTTCAGTTCTTGTGCGAATTCGTCTGATAATAATTGCTGGTTCAAATTTAAAAAAATATTGTCTTATTTCAATCGATTTCTCAATAAATAAACTGATTTGCAAAGTAAGATAAATATAATATATAATCTCTTAAGATGCAAATCGATCATCGGATGTAGCTTAAAATGTGTAAAAAAAATTACAAGGCATATGATGATGTATTTTTTAATCTTGTTAAAATATTAACATAAACATATAAACAATAAATCTTGCCAATTGCTAGAATTTTGCTTACGAAAAATAAAACTTTTAAGAGTTTTACAATATTTTGAAATCTTTGAAAATTTTTAAAAATATTGTTTTAAAAAAAATGTTTTTTTTATATTTAGATTTTTTAAAATTTTGAACTCTTCAAGTTTTGACAACAATCGTGATGCGTAACTGTTCTAGAGACAAAATATCGAAGCGCGTAAGCACCGCGTCGTACGATAGCAGATACAAATTAGTACAGAACCCACAGAAATGCAAACAAAATTTATACATGTTATTAAAATCTCTATAAAGTATCTGATAATTTGATGTGCATATATCTAGTGGAATTTTTTCCATTTTTCTCATTGTTTTTTTTCCAAAAACCGTAGACCTGCCTTTCAAAAATTTAACCAGTTTGTCAATCCGTAAAATGTTTTCTGAATCATTCAAATCGGTTAATCCATGTTCCCAAAATTGTTGACGAAAATTTATATCCGCATACAATTCTCTCTCACACACAAACACACATACACATACATCCATTTTTTCTAATGTATGCCAAAATGTTCAGATGCCTTTGAAACATGAAGATATATACAAAAAATTCATTTTCGATTTTTGTGTAATTACTATACCTTACCTTATTATGGGAAGTTAATTATGAAAATTTTGTTGGAAATCCACTAGTATTATATATATATACCTATACCTACTTATTTAAAAAAGGCCTTAAATATCGGCGTAGTCTTGAAACTAGGTTACTATTTTACGAAAAAAATTCACATCATTATCATACAATACTATACAATATTTGATAGGATTTTGAATACAAAATTTTCTATACAAATTTTTGTTTATTTGATTCCCATGTTAGTAAAAATTTGTTCGTATTTGGATTATATGAAGGTAAGAATAACAGTAACAATTGCGAAACAATAAAGTCAATAACAATAATAATTAACAATACATGTCAGCCCAAACTATATATATTTTTTTAAATAATAAAATATTTTACTATTACATAATTTTTTAATATAATTTGTTATTACCATTAGTACTCAAGAATTATGGAAGACCAAGATCGACGCCGCCCATAATTACTGGGGCTACAATATAACTCTAGCCGTTGGGGCCCGTATTCGGGACAGAGCTGATGATCCGGCACTGGTGGAAGTTCAGTATCTTCCTACGCACGACAACAATCAAACTGTTCTGGACGGAAAATGTCCACCAGGATGGGGAGCAGTACTGGATACTTGCTATTCGTATATTGGAGCTCCGATGGGCTTTAGGGAAGCCAAAGAGTTTTGTATGGTAAGCTGCCTTATTTGATAATCTGTATTTTCAAGCAAGATCTCTGGGGTGAATTATATTGAAAAACGTGATGGCTTTACTGAAACATTATTTTTTCAAAAATGCATTATAACTATGATGGTGAATGGCATTGTGCCTTAAGGCAAATTGCTGGAACTTCCCGTACCGCAAAGCAAATATTCGACGATTACTAAATGTTTTCAAATAGATTATTAAAAATACTGTAACTTATATATGATAACAAAGAACTAAATAAACATAACTTAATCGATTAAATTCAAAATAAAGGACATTGAAATAAACTGAATTGCAAACTTAAAAATTATTTGTTTGAAGTATATTAGTGAGCTTTAGAACTTTAGCTAGAAAAAAATTAAAATTCGATCTATATTCGATATTCAAAAAAATTCTTACATACATACTCACACATCCATTTTTTCTGAGGTATGCCAAAATGTTCAGAACCTTCAAAACGTAAGGAAATGTAAAAATTTTCAATTTCGATTTTTGGACGAATACTATAACTTACTCTGCTGGAAGTTAAAACTGCATTTTTTTAAGTGAGATATTAATCAGAATTATCTATTACGTATTCATTTATATTCAAAATAGTTGATTAAGAATTCTATTAATTTTGTATGAATGTCCCATATCTGTAAATTAGGTAAAGATATTTTGATTCTCAACATTCTTGGAAAGTTCTCAAATTCATGTTATGGGGGTAATTTTAAAGACTACAATGATACTTCTTATTAATAAAATTTAGACTAAAAATATTTGAAAAATTGTACATAATTGTTTTTTATCTCTTTTTAATATATAGAGATATGTATAAACAAAACATACTAAAATTATTCACCTTGCATTTTGTGCATTTTTTTTTAAATCAGGACTGAATCATTCAGTATTCTAATAATTTTATTTTCGTTATATAGGTATTTGACAATTTGACAGTAATTTCATGGGCATAATCGCAATACATTATTTATAACATCAGTGGGCCAATTCTCGAATAAAATAGCTATGTTATGTTAAACGGTCACTTATGTGGAGTAATCGCATAAGACAAAACTTTAGCAAAGCTACGTCTTTGCTGTTTTCCTTAGATCCTAACCTCTAAATGACACAAATATGCCAAAATATAACATCAGATCGACTTCACCTATGTGTAATTTTAAGTGTAACAATTTGTTGGCAAGTTATGCTATATTATCACATTTGTTCCAATTTGGAGATTAGATTTTAGTAGTTTACATTATAGTAAATATGGATTGTACAAAGCTTTCAGTATATGATTTCGTATAGTGTTTAAAAGTGATTTATAATTTATGAAGTTAATGATGCTCACTTATCATATTTGGCATATTTATACATTTTAATGGCCTTTGTGTACCTACTTTAATTTAAAACTTATTTTTGCTTTTTGATGCTTTAAGGGGGTATTCTAGTGTAGAGCGATGAATTTTAGGTCATTTTTAAAGTGTCGTAAAAGAAAGCAATGAATGTTTTTACTATCCATTTTTTACCACTTGTTTATTTATATTATTAAAATACAATACAAAAATTAGAAAAAAAAGTTGAAAATTGAAGAAACTGGCAGCAAATGAAGTGGGGGGTCTCAAAAAATTGGCACCTCAGTCTTGACATGATTTCAGCCCTCCTAGCCATCCCAAATAAAAGAAATAAAAAGATTATTAATCTACAATGATGTCGCAATCGCCCAAACTAGCGATGAGTAAAAAAAAAATTATTACAAATTGGCGACTGTTTGAAAAAAAGTGTCTTTTTTACTGTTTTTTGAGTTTCTCGAATTTTTTAAAAATAGTAAAAATTGGAATTTGGGGATAATCCTAGTTCGGGCTATAGATAGATCTATAAACAAGACTCTCTGAACATTTAAAGTGAATCGGTCGAGTAGAACTCGAGAAATTGTGTCAACAGTACTGAAAAAGTCTGTTCTGAGAAAAACGCATTTAATGTTTATTGCTGGCGAAGTCATAAAATGATATGTTATACTTCTTTGATTCAATCTGCCATTCCTGCTTCATGCATCGGACCTTCTTCTACTTCAAAAAAACTATTTTCTGTATTTCTCTCTTCCAATCGAGCAGTTCTAGCCTTCTTTGAGCCTCCTTTGAAGCGTTGGATGTAGGTATTTCAGATCGTTCAGTCTGGGCATGGTCTCATCTTACAGCAAATGAATGAGTTTCTGGCCCAATTTGCATTACCATAAGGGTCATCATTTTTAAAATCGGAAAGAAACCATAATTGTATATGCAAACAGCAATAAATGTTGTTATTTCAATTACCCGAGATCGGGAATGAATATGTTTCGGCGCAAAAATCCAAATCAACGAGTTTAGAGATTCATTATTGTTCTGAGTCTCTGAACCTATACATCAAATTAATAATTTATCTGACGATAAACTGTCTTAAATTGGTCTAATGACTTCCTAATGAACTTTGTCCGATTAGACCCTGCCAAACCAGTTTGGAGACCGAGTCAGTAAAATGCCTATATCTTCGAAAATAATTCAAATTTTCAAAAACTTTCTCGTACCCATATTCTTGGATAGTTAAACTTTAAAAATATGTAATAAAAAACGTTTTTTTAACAAATGCTTAAGAAACCCAATTTTAATTTTGAATATAATAGTAATAGAGCAAATTGTCAGGAAAAATTATAATATTGGCTAATGGTATTTATTAATGATTAACCAAGGTCAAATGCAATTGTAAAAATTGTAAATTTAATTTTTCAACATCCCATGCATCCAGTTACACATTTTTTATTCATTAATTCTAGAATGACAATGCTTCGATGCCATACATGAGGTCTGATACTTCGCCTGTCCTCGCATTTCTGGAACAGCAGAGAGGAGTGGCCAACGACTACTCCGTGTCGGCAGCGTACGACCAGCGCGTGTGGGTCCAGGACCTGGACCGAATCGATCAATGCACGGCCTTAGAGTACAGGGGCATTGTTTTAGATGACTGCCAGAGCAGACATGGATTTATATGTGAAATAGGTAAGACTTGGAATTTTATTGAATTTAAATTCAATTATAAAGAGAGTTTTTAATTTTTAAGTGGAATGTGGAATATCTTTCTTGATCAAAAGCGGAATGTGGCATTGTTTTAGAGAAAATTTCTGAAACTAGTTTATATTAAAGGCTACCCGATAAATATTAGTATTTGAAATTATTGTTTAGAAATTTTTTTATGGATAGTATATTGCAAACTTATATCAATGTTTGAAGAGATAAGAGTCATAACAAAAGTTTTAGCTTGATGTTGGCCATTTGATTTCAACCCCATGACATGAAAATTCATCACCGATTTCAACTTTATTAAACTAAAATTAAAAGCTTTTACGATTTTAGTGAATCTTATAAAAAATTTGAGAATTCTCATTTATTATCACTGAACTCCAAGTTTAGTAAATAAATTATAACATATAATACAATAATATTATTTATATCAAATATAGGAATGTTTTTTTATATATTGCACATATTCTATTTTTGGTCAATGATTATATTTATTAAATGACCCTTTTTCCGCTACATCGGTTCAGCAGTTTACCTAATGTGATGAAATTTATGAAAATGGTCGTCTATTTCTAATGTACTAATTAATTGCCAATTCTAGTTGATTTTTTGTATTGCAATTAATTTGTTTTATTTAATCACAAATAAATGTGGAATAACAACTGAGTTTCCTTCTAGAATACGTCAAATAGACTAAATATTAGGTTGAGATGAACCATCTCAGCAGGTTATAGAGCTCTTAGTTCTGGTTGCCGTTTAAAAACAATCTAAACAAATAATAACTATTAGGGCTTGAAGTTTCCTTTATTATAAGTACAGTTATGTATTTTATTATAATATATATTTTTTTTACAGATCCAATTGTCAGCATAGATCCACTTTTATGGACAACGGACATTGTTGCCATCGGAGTGATAAGCTCAATGGCTATTGCTGTTTTAGTATTGGCTTTGGCTATTGGTAAGTTATTGCAATAAATTTTGCTATTAATTATTTAATGAAACTAGCTGTAAGTGGAATTCTGTCTTAAGGCAATTAAGGCATCGTGCCGTAAGGCAAATTGCTGGAACTTCCCGTACAAAAAATTATTAATTTTTAAAAAACTATTAACATTTTTGAAAAAAATGTACTTTGAAAAAATAAGATTTTTGAGAAACTATATATATGGACAAAAAATTATTTTTTTTGAAAAAAAAAATTAAAAAAAAAAAAAATAATAATTTTTTTTTTTTGAAAAAAAAATTTTTTTCTTTATTTTGACATATTGTGGAAGATCTGAATTTTTTTTTTAAAGCAATCGTACTGATTTAACTGCATAGGGACAAAATATAAAGCGCGTAAGCGCCGCGTCGCTGTCTAACGCATAAGCATTGGTGCGGAACCCATAGGAATGTTAACAAAATGTATGTGCATATGTCTAATGATCATTTTTGACCGCCAAATGGCTCATTTTTTTACTTTTTCCTCCATATCTCCGAAACCGCTAGACCTACCTTTATGAAAATTATCGATTCTTTATCTTGTCAATACAAGTGAAATGTTTTTTGCATTATTTAAATCGGACGCTCCGTTCTCTTAAAAACTGAGTTACCGTTTTCGGCACTTTTTTGCCCCGTATCTTCGGAACGGCTAGACCTGCCTTCGCCAAAAACAATCAGCACGTCTTCTTATCAATACAAATCGAATGTTTTTTGAATTATTCAAATCGGTTGATCCGTGTTCCCGAAATCGTCGACGAAAATTTGTATCCGCACATACATACACACACACATACACACACACATACACACACATACACACACACACACACACACACACACATACATCCATTTTTTCTAAGGTATGCCAAAATGTTCAGAAACCTTTGAAACGTAAAGATATATAAAAATTTTCATTTTCGATTTTTTTGCGATTACTATAACTTGCCCTACGGGAAGTTAATAATATGTAGGTTTTATACATAATTTATTCCGTAAACTTAGTTCTTCAAAATAATTTTACAACTAAAACGATTTTTTCAAAAAAATTTCTCTAGATCTAGAAATCACAGCATTTCATCAAATACATTCTTATTGCTATGTAGTGTAGATCGGGGCTGAAAGGTCCACCAACATAATTCCAAAAACTATTGAAATTTTTAACGATACTATTTTGAAGTAATAAACAAAAGGTGTTAACAATACAAAATAGTAAAGAAAAAGTTTTACAGGACATAAATCAAATAGTTATTTAACCCTGCTGATGAATATTCCTAACAAAAACCAGATCAAGGTTATGTAAAGTGGTTACCTCTGCAAAAAATGTAGCTATGTAATTAAGTTCCTGTAGAGTAAGTTATAGTAATCGCAAAAAAATCGAAAAAGAAATTTTTTATATCTTTACGTTTCAAAGGTTTCTGAATATTTTGTCATACTTTAGAAAAAGTGGATGCATGTGTGTGTACGTGAATGTGTGTGTGTGTGTGCGGATAAAAATTTTCGTCGACGATTTCGGGAACACCGATCAACCGCTTTGAATAATTCAAAAATTTGTATCGATAAGGAAACGTGCTGATTAGTTTTTGGCAAAGGCAGGTCTAGCCGTTTCGAAGATACGAGGCAAAAGTGCCAAAAACGCTACTCAGTTTTTAAGAGAACGGAGCGTCCGATTTTAATAATTCAAAAAACATTTTACTTGTATTGACAAGATGAAGAATTGATTGAATTTTTGGCAAGGCAGGTCCAGCGGTTATGGACTCTCGATGAAAATAAGTGAAAAAAATGTCATTTGGCATTCAAAAATGTTTATTGGACATATGTACATCAAATTATCAGATTTTATAGAGATTTTAATAATGTGTATACATTTTGTGTAATTTTTTTTGGGTTCCGTACTAAAATTTTAATTGCGATACGGGAAGTACCAGCATTTTGCCTTAAGGCACCCCACTTAAACTAGTGGGTCAACCATTTTGCATTGGTCGAATAACGTAGCTAATATTTCATAAAAAATTTTATTACTTAAAAGAAAACATTCAATCCATTTGCACCCTGGATATCCCATTTTACACTGTTTGGGGGGTAGAAAGAACCAGTTGACAAATTTTTAAAAAACGGCAAGAAACACTTTTTTGCAATGTTGGGAATTAGCTAGGAGTTTTACTGAACATAGTCTGATAGTTTGATATGTGGTATATGTTCCGATACAATTGGTTTGGTTTTCACAATATAATTGCTCAAAGTCAAATTGGAGCCTTTTCCCCACTTTATCTTATATTAAAGCATCTTAAATTTATTGATCCGATTTTTCAACAATGTCAAACGCTTTTTAGTCAAATATTTTCGCTTTGTAATTCGTTTTTCTTTATCAATGTGTTTTAGCTTGCTGGTATCATAAATCAAGACATCGTCATGCACAACGTTTGCAGAGAAGAAACAGTATCAGACAATCCTTGAGGTCTCTGAATAGCCTGGATCCCGGTTCTATGAGGAGAAAAAACTTGGTAAGAATATATGTCAGATATGACTAATGGTTGTCAATGACAATATTTCAAACATCATAAAATGAGATATAAATTCAATCGATTCGCAGACATTGTGATAAGCAACCAAAAATAGTAAGCATGATACAGATATATAATTATAATTAAAAATAACATAAAAGGTATCTGATTTTTTTTAAATACATAAATTGTGTTGATTTGATATTATGATAGCTGGCCAGTTGTATCAAGTCTGCGATAAATTTTATCTATCAATGATTATAGAATGTTGGTGATTTTATTATTTATTATATGGTATATATACATTGCACTGAAAAATATTATTTAATTTTGTGTTTGTTTTATTTTAAATATTTTTTTCAAATTAACATAGCACATAGAATAAACTGATAATTACGTTAGCACACAGAAATTATACTTAATACTAACCATACTAACTACCTAAGTCTTCACCCTCTTTCCACACAAGCCCCTTATTTGTCATTTTAGTAATCGAATAATTTTTCATCTTGCATGCAATCATCGATTGATTGTTTTTGACTTAATTTTAATTCTGATTTTTCTGAAGTTTATGGAGAAAAATTATATCATAGTTTGTCCAACCCTAACATTTTTTATTTAGGGTTAATTTTCTTCATTTTAGTTTTGTGAATTTGGGATTGAGAAATATATTATATTTTTACTGTCCTATCAGATATCCTTATTTCATAATAGTCATTTTAGTAGTCCAATCATTTTTCATAAAGCTCGATAACTGATCAATCATCATCCTTTTTGTGAACAAAGTTTGTTGAATTTTGATCCATATTTTTCTGAGCTTAAAGAAAAGCTTAAATATATGAGCTCTGTCCGCTGAAATATTTTCAAAACAATTCTTAGATATAATCTAAGAATTGTTACCATCGATAAAACCTTTACCATTAGTAAAGGTTATCATCAATAAAACTACATGCGTCAAATTATCAACTTTCTTTCTTGCTTGATCTGATTCGCAGGATTATCCCATTGTACAAATATTTGCCTATATGCACACCCAGTACATGGTTCATGAATGGCTTGCAGAAAGAGCAATAATATTATAATCTGAATATACAACAGTCTTTGAGAGGGAACTAGATACCATCCAAATCCTTGTCAAAGCTGTAATTTTTTCAACGAGAGTTTTTGAAATGTTACTCGATTGACATGTTTCTTAATAAATAGCAGAAAAGTGAAAAATTTTAAGTCCACGTTTTAGCCCGCAATTCTGAATCGATTATGAAAATTCAAATACCGTTCGAAAATATTGGTTGGAAATCGTGCTGATTAGTTTTTGGTAAAGATCGGCTGGGCCGTTTTCTTGTAATAAAGTGTTATAAAATTTTTCTTCGATGATTTTTTTTTTGACGGTAGATACCATAGTCTTCTAGATCATACTCAAATATTACGGCCCTACGACAATTGGTTTAACTTTAAAAATTCGTCAAAGTTTGCAAAAATTGGTATCGTTTTTTTGGCATTTGTCAAAATTAGACCTTTCTTCGACATTTTTTCAAAATTAGACCTTTCATCGACATTATTTCAAAAACGCCTGAACCGATTTCAGAAATTTAAAAGCCATTTGATGCATCTCGATGAGGACTATCGTTTGCCAGTTTTGTGCGACGATCTGCCAAACCGTTCTTTATAATTTAAAAAAAGTGTTGAACTTTTTGTTCACTTTTAAGCTCATACTATTGAATCAATTTTAAAAAATCAAAAATTATTCGAAAGATATAGTTGGGAATGATACTGATTAGTTTTAGATGAAAATCTACCGAGCCGTTTTCTTCTAATTAACTGTTGAAAAAAATTAAGCCGATTTTTATGGAACTTTTAGTTTAATTTTAAAATTCATCAAAGTTTTAAAAATGAGTAGTTTTTCTGATGTTAGCTAAATTAAAATTAAATTTACTTGGTATAGCGATAGAGTACCAGTCTTAATGAACGTACTAAACTATTAAAGTCCTATGAAAACTGGTTCAATTATAAAAATTGTTCATTTTTGAAATTTGCTTTTAAAAAATACTACGTGTTAACGTGTTCGTTCGTGTTCAATTATGTATAATAAATCCACTCAAAATACTTTTAATCACTCATAAATTAAATTATTTTTTATTGATTAAGTTGATTAATTACAATATCGGGAAGTTCATGTAACTTGCCTCAAGGCGAAATATCAATACCAACTAGTTTAATAATAAAAACAAACTGTATTTTCATATGATAATCGTCGTGAAGACAGGTATTTTCTGATAGAACACATTTGTGAGCATTCTATCCAAATATTAATTTTATATCAAATACAGTTTATAAATATGAAGTATGAATGGTTTATCTATATATTAAACAAAAAAATGTATTCTGGCATTTTGTATAATGAATTAATTAAATTCAATAATAAAATACAGTTTTAACACTGAAATTTTGAATAAAAAGTCAAAGCGAGAGTACAATGATTAAAGTTCTATGTTAGAAGTTATTAGAAAATATTTTGAAAAAAAAAAATGCAAAGTGTATAAAGAATATTTAATATTATAATAATTCTCTATTTTTTATTTAGTCTGGATCTCGGTCCACTGACACGTTAACAGTGAAATCAGCATCGGATTGTAAAAGAATGTTGTCCTCCGGATCTATAGATTCCATAGAAAAAAGCGTATTCACAGGATCCAGCTTAGACGACGATAGGAGCTTTGATGTTTATGAATCGCACAATCCTAGGACTGGCTACAATGGGTAAGTGGAAATATTTCGAAAAAAACTTTGAAGATTATATTGAGAATTTTATTTTCTATTGCGCAATAAATCATACCTTTTTTTTACCTATATACGCTTGCGGGCTTAAACAAAATAATTTTACTACAAGTGAAGAAAATATTTGGTAAAAAATATATTAAATAAAAGGATTGATCATTAAATGATCAATATGGTGCAATTTTGAATAAAGTATAGATATCTTTCAATGAGCAATCAGTGATTCCGATTATTTCCGTGAAGCTAATATATTAGTTATTTAGTTACTAGCCATAATAGTCCATTAATCACGTAAGGCTTTTAAGGTGATGGGGGTTGATAAAAGAATCACAAAAAAAATCGTGGGGAAGACAGGGGTCTGGAAGATATCATCACGTGTATATTTTTTACGTAAATTTAAAAAAATATATACTGTTTTTTCGTAATTCGAAAAATTGTTCAAAAAATTATAGGTTAATAAAAAAAACGTTATGTGGGGAAAGTGTTATGTGGGGGAATACCACGGGGAAAGGGCTTCCAAAAATCTCTGAAAAATCGATCACGTGATTAATGAACGCACCTTAAGATATTTATAATATTTACCAACAAATCAATAGTTACGTCAAGCAATATAGAGATTATCGTTATTTTGAGATTCGATCAATGAAGGAGAGAGAATTATTTCTAAAATTTAATTTGCGATAGATAGAAATTCATTTTAATTACTTTTTGTAGGGTAAGTTATTGAAAACAAAAACTATCAAAAATGGTTTTTTTTATATAATTAACATTTAAGAATTTTATCATCATTTTGCATACCTTAGGAAAAGTTGATGTTTGATGTTAAAACACTACTATAAATCCTTTCATATAATAATTTCAACAATTTTAGTAAAACTTTCGAAGCTCGAAGGTTTGGTTTATTTAAAGAGCCAATCTTGGTATGAAATTTTGCTCACGTATAAAATTAAAAATTACAGCAAACTATTTTAAATGTGAAGCTGGTACTTGATCTTTTATGCAGTGATATTAAAATTCTGTATTACTGTGCAATCAAGGTCAACTTACTACTATTAGTAAAATCTTTATTGAAAAGTAATAATAAAAAAAATAAGATTTTCAAAATGAAATAAAATATTCAAACAAATACAAATTTAATAAAATTATAATTTTCAAAAAATTTGAATCTTTTTTTATTTCACAGAAAAATTATTTTTCTAGAATTTTTCTATAAAACGACAGTATCGCAATTTGCCTTAAATGCCATATTGCGGTTAAAAGTAAATTGACCTAATTTGAAAAGATTAGAGCGAGGTGAATCTGTTCAACGAGTTGCAGTTGCAATGCGCATATGGTTTGCATCATAATTTTGCAGTCAGATTATGTATCTTCTCTTTATGCAATTAAAATTAACATTAATATTCAACTCAAAAAGTACTATTTATAAGTCGTTTTAACAAACTTATCTAAATTTCATTTTCAATATAGGGTAACATTTG